GACCTTCGTACTCATTTGCTGCCTGTCGTAGGTTGCTAAGCCTTATAAAATTTCGCATGTGGAGGATGTGAAATGAAATAATTTTTTTTAGGTTTTATATATACATTAGAATAACTAAAAAATCATAAATTACTACAATAATACCACAAAATTCAACTATAATTTATCAAGCTTAGTAACTAAGATGTATTTCAGTCTAAAAAATATGAAGTTTCTAGCAGACTAAAGACTCAACCTACCTTCTTGAAATCTTGTTTCGAAAGAACAAGATGACATCGTAACACTTGTAAATGACTGATAAAGCCACTAAGGGACATTATGAGCTTTAGATTGGTTATTCACATGTCATATATTGAAATATATGTGTATATATAAGGGACCATTTCCAAAAGTGGAAAGAAGTGAGTGGGGCCACTGTGTTTGATTCAGCACATGAGCAATATCTCAGCAAATAGAAGAGATAGGAGGTTCTTATTTTATATTCTAGCTTGTTAATATTGGTAATTTGAGTTCTTAATTCATACAAAAATATAGACTTTGTACTTTGACATCACAAACATCTAATTTGAACCAGTGCTGCATTCAACATACCATGTGACACATAAAATTTGATGCTTAGGTGTGTTTTCTAATATTTATATTTAAATTAAGAAATTAAATAATGTATAATATTAAGATTTAAATTTAATCTGCAGCTTGACACCAAAATCATTGACATAAGTTCATAAAATAGCAGTTCAACAAAATTTTGAATGTGAGTCAACAAATACGATAACATGGCCTTTGACCCGTGACCCATGTGGAAAGGGTTAATAAATTTTTTTTAAAATATCTACTAAAGATTTTCTTTTTGTTAACCCTATAACAACAGGTCTCCTTTATTGTGCATGACACAAGGATTTAGAGTCTTACATTCAAAATTTTATTAAACTACTTATTGTTTATGTTATACCAATTAGTATAGCATAAAATTTTAGCTAATAATCCATATTTTAATAGTATACAAGTTTTAAGTCCTTAATTCTACAAGGCAATATTGAACGAAATCCTGAATTTCCCCTAGTGTGACCCACATGACACATATTATCTTAACATGTCATTTTCCCTATTTTTCCCATCACCCCTTGTAAAAGTACAAAATTAAATGTAAATTACTCTCTATAAGATCATCATTGATAAGATAAGATAAACCAAAATTTTTAGTCTGCAATTTTGTTTGGTTACAGAACTACCAAATAGAAAATCAGACACCTCCTGCCAATCTACCTGTTACATCCTCTCTTTCACAATTCGTTGATAGCTCTCCCTTACGTTTACTTTAATTATATGTTACCTATAACCAATAGAGGGTCAAGGTTTTCATCTATCAAAGACATATTGTGTAGTGTTGTGTTCTGAAACGTTAAATGTCAAGTTCACTCAGAGTACCAACATCATTCCCGTGAGAAAGTTAATGACTATCTTGGATGAATTTGTAACAGCTCTTGTCGCATAGTTAGAAAGCCAGAAAAATTTTGAGAGGTATGTGAATTTGTCTACTTTTTGCATGTTATTAATTTATGTGTATTTGGTGTATTATTTAATTAAATAAAAACTATTAAGTGCATTACTACCATTAGTATAAAAAAGTCATGGTTAACTCTCTTCAACAATCAATAGCAAGAAAAAGAAAATTGGTTGATATTTTATTCGTCATTTTTCATGTTTATTCTTTATGTATAATTAGAAAAGTAACTAAAATAGTAAAAATATGGATCCTTTTAGGTTAGTTAAGATTAGATTAGTTAAAATAAACAATAATAATATAATAAAATTGTTTCAAGAGGCACACATGCAAGCAGCTCGTGGATAATGTAATTCATTAGCATAACGTGAGCTGCACATTCCCCTAGTGATTTAAAACTAATAATGGCACAGATAGTAGTTAGACACAGTTCAAAGGACAGTAAAACAATAAAATTTAATCATAACTTGATGTATACTGTTACGAACTTAGAGCTACTTAGGATAAACAAATGTAGTTTCATGTTACAATTTGAAGTCATCCTAGAAAGAAAAAAGGGTAATTTAGATTTATTTCAATTTTTTGGGGGGAGGTTACGAGTTTGGTCGAATTGACCAATCCCGTTTTGAGATAGGGTAAAGAAAATAACAGATAAACTATAAAGTTTTACTGAAAAAACGTTTGAAATGCATTTAGGAGGTTTTAAGAATTACACAAAGGAAATTTGGACTTTTGAGATGAGGAAAAGTATTTTTAATTTTAACGTGAAAATTACTTTGCACACGGTCTATTCAAAAGAAATACTCAATAAATTCATGGACAAATCTTTATTTTATTAAAAATACTTCACTAAAAAATATGATTTTTTTTATGTGAAAGACTCGTAATAATAACTGAAAGACTGTCAAATTTTGTGAAGATATACACATTATACTGAAAGTTAGAAGTATCAAATCTATAAAGACTTTTAACAAGTACAAAGAGGTCACCTGATTGGTCAAATCGACAGAGCCCGTGTTGAGAGAGTTAAATTCATAATTTTAGGTCTTTTCCTTTTTCACATATAGTCAATTTTTAATGTTTTATTTTCCATTCTTGTCTTTAACATCTTATTATTCATCTCAACACAAGTCAATGGTGCACTCGAGGCATATTACAGTTTCTTTGGGAGACACACGCAAACCTTTAGCAAAATTTTTGTTCAGCATGTAATATCATAAGTCTTGAGAATGGATGCAGAGTATAATATATGTGTAAAAAATGTTTAAGCCTTTTAATTATGCATTTTAAAACATAATTAACTAAAATACAATTTATTTAGTGAGACAAGACCTAAGTACAATTTAAACTGAATCTCTAACTATAATATATTTAGGTAAGAAACAGGTAAGTGTTACAGTCAATCATGCAGCCTACAATAGTTAGTTACATGTAATCTGTGAAGATAACTGCATGCTAATTTCAAAATAATCGTTGTCATATTATGGTGTAAAATGAGCTATTTCTAATGAATATACATGTGTGTGCAGCATCTACATGTAGACTATAAAGCTTAAACAAATCTGTTGAAGGTAGGCATGGCAGTTGTCAGTTTGAAAAAATGTATTACTTGTTTCAACTGTATTTACTCAGAGAACTTTGAAATGAATGAAATGAAAGGTTATGTAAGCATCTTATTGTCTAGACATACCTCTACTCAACCACCACTGTGTTATTGAAGATACAGAGAACCAAAGTAGAGAATTTTCATAGCTCGTCTGGTAGGTAAAATTTTGTATCTCATGTCTGGTCAAGTATATCAACATTTAAGAAAATTTCTTACTTCCACCTACTTATTTCTATAAAGAAATATGTACATATTTTTATGTAAATTTCTTACAATGAAACTCATCTAAAAACAAAGAAACTGAAATTTTAAAGAACCAAACCAGATACTGAAACTGTACAGAAGTTTTCCATAAAACAAGTATGCCTAAACACAGAATAGAAAGCATGCTTTTTTTATAACCACAAATTTAGTATGATAGATATCTTCTGCAAAAAAGGCATTAAGACTGGAACATGTATCTGGTACACAGAACTGTGACTACTTGAGCTCAAATCTTTATATGTTTATTTTTCTTCTTTGTTTTACATTTAAGGGAAAAATTAAGATATATCTGAAGTGCTTTTGTACTTATAACACAAACCAACTGTTCAAGCAATGGATGTTATACCAGCAAACTGTCATCCTAGTTATAAATGTGGAGTCTCAGCCAATCAGCACCTGTTTTATTACCTGAGTGAGAGCCCTCCAGTCCATGTTAGCACTACCTATATAGAAGTGTTGGTTGTCAATCAGCCACATTTTAGTATGTAACACCCCGGCACCTATCAATCTGTCAAAATCTACACTTCGTACTGTTGCAGCTCCTGGGGGGGGATTAAAAATCGGCAACATAAATCAAAACACTAGACATAACATATGGTAAACCAGTATAACATGTCTCAATATAGTGTGATGAAACAACATTAATGAAAACAAAGATAATTCCACAAGTGTGGGATCAAACTATAGAAATAATAGTTTTTATTAGACTGATGGTACCAAAAAGTACCAAGTTGGACATAATAGCTTTAGTACAAGATTGAACTAACTAAACAATGATGATAAATCTTAAAAAATCAAACATAACAGCTTTTGTACAAGATTGAAGTAATTAAACAGTGATGATAAATTTTAAAAAATCAAAGTAACATAATAGCTTTTGTACAAGATTGAAGTAATTAAACAGTGATGATAAATTTTAAAAAATCAAAGTAACATAATAGCTTTTGTACAAACTTGTACAAAAGCTATTATGTTACTTTGATTTTTTGAAATTTATCATCACTGTTTAATTAGTTCAATCTTGTACCAAAGCTATTATGTTACTTTGATTTTTTGAAATTTATCATCACTGTTTAATTAGTTCAATATTGAACTAATTAAACAGTGATGATAAATTTAAAAAAATCAAAGTAACATAATAGCTTTAGTACAAGATTGAACTAATTAAACAATGATGATAAATTTTAAAAAATCAAAGTAACATAACAGCTTTTGTACAAGATTGAACTAATTAAACAGTGATGATAAATTTTAAAAAATCAAACACTACAGCTTTTGTACAAGATTGAACTAATTAAACAGTGATGATAAATTTTAAAAAATCAAAGTAACATAACAGCTTTTGTACAAGATTGAACTAATTAAACAGTGATGATAGATCTTAAATAATCATTGTAAGACTTTTTGAGTTTTTACTTAGCTGATAATACCAAAAAGTAGTTTGTAGCTAGCAGTCCTCAAAATGAGTAATGGCATATGACGAAGCCATGAGAAAGGATGTATCGTTTAATGAAAAACATTAAATATGACGGCCAAAAAAAATTTTCATTTAATTTCTAAAATTTTCCCTGTGAATACCATCAAGGAGTACAAAAATACAACTGATAGTAAATAATTATAAAAATAAGTCAACACATCAAATTTGTTTTTGTTTGTTTAAGCACAAAGCTACACAACAACAGGTTATCTGTGTGTGTTCACCACAGCAAAGCAAACTGACTTTGAGCACTTAAATCCAGAAACTTACTGCTCATCCACTGAGGGGATCAAATTTGTTTGATATAAAAAATTTTTATTATAGTTTGAAAGTGCAGGTTTATCCATCCATATATTTCTGAGTGATTCTTGACATAACACGTGAAACAGTACCATCTCAATACAACACGTGAAACAGTACCATCCTGACATAACACGTGAAACAGTACCATCTCGACATAACACGTGAAACAGTACCATCTCGACATAACACGTGAAACAGTACCATCTCAATACAACACGTGAAACAATACCATCTCGACATAACACGTGAAACAGTACCATATCGATACAATGTGTGAAACAGTACCATCTCGACATAACACGTGAAACAGTACCATCTCGATACAACACGTGAAACAGTACCATCTCGACATAACACATGAAACAGTTCCATCTCGATACAATGCGTGAAACAGTACCATCTCGACATAACACGTGAAACAGTACCATCTCAATACAACACGTGAAACAGTACCATCTTCACATAAACATGTGAAACAGTACCATCTTGACATAACACGTGAAACAGTACCATCTCGATACAACAC